TGTGCCTAAGCTCATTGACATTCGGCTGGTGTGCATGCTCACTCTCTCACTCTCACGCAGACATCAGTCTGTGTGCCCGCTGTAGCGGGGATGCCCCGTGGGGGAGGGGCTGTGGGGAAAGGGGAGCTGGGGGCTGCGGGATTTCCAGTGCCGTAATTAGATGTGATGTATAGCCAGTCACATGACTGCAGCTCTCTGTCTCTCCTTTGTGTGATGCAAAAATGGGCGTGGGGGGGGGGTGTTAGTGGCCCTGTAGAATTCAGCAGGGAGGGATGCAGCGGCTGCTGCAGCACACGGTTCAGCACACTACCCCCCAGGCGAGGCGGGGGTGAGGTGGATACGTCAGCATTCGTACGGTTTTCCCCACTCATTCCACTTTGTATCTCCATCGTAAAAACAATTGTTTTAATCCCTTATTCACCCCATCAAAATGGGTGGTGGGTGGGGGGAGGTGTCACGATTAATCTGGAAGTTTAGTTAGTAGGTAAACATGCAGTTAAAACTAATTTCCACCGTTACCTCAGTGAGCAGGTGACGGTCATGTCTGAGGATGCCTGTCCCGGCCGTCGCATCTGCGCCTTTCGCTGTCTCTGTGAGGACGACTCGTACCTCAGCGAGCAGCGTAAGCTCGTCAAACTCCACAAACCCTAAAGTGCTTTACATTTTCATTTGAAATGCTTTCATGCTGAAAATCAAATGTTTTGTCGGACCGCGCGGAATTTTCCAGATCTGGTGGCAGCGGCAAGCAGATCCCGCTTCTGCAGTTAACTCTGCTGCTGCTCAAATTCACTCCTCAGAATGAAAATGGCTGCCAGCCTGAGGTGATTTAATTTTCTGAATAAATGACCCTTGTTCCAGAAAAAGCATTGTGAGTCATGAAAGAGTCTGGCAGATGACATTTCTTACTGTCCCCTGACCAGCACTCTTGCTGAGACTTACATATTTGTACTTATTTGTTTGGCTGGCCTAGCCTTAGCAAGGTGAAAAATACAAAAGGTGGAAATGACCGTGGTAAACACACCATGCAGCTCCATTATAATGAGAGATTGTCAGTCTAATCACTGGCTTCGGGAGAAAGAACTTAACAGAGTGTAGTTTGGCAACCTTTGCTTCAGTGTTGTGAAGTCATAGGCTAACGCTAACCCACCATTTCCCTTGCATTAAGTGACCCTGATAACAACTGTTTTCATCAATCTGTATCACAGACCGCTTCTATTTACAAGTGTGTGGCGCATATACCTGTTGTAGAGTAAGGAATTCCATAAATTGGATTCCAAGAACCCCCGAGCTCATTAAAACAGAAACGCGAGGCTACGTCTTCGACATGGGGACGAACGGTTCATAATTTTCTGGCTAAGCACAGCGCAGTGATTAATGCGGCCGGCGTATCTCAGCAGCTCACCCTAGCAACCGGAGAGCGGGGGGCTCTGGGAGCTCACTAATGAATTGTTCAACTGCTTCTTACTGCAGTGAGACAAATGCCCAGGCTTGATAGCGAGCGCAATCTTAATGTAGCGAATATAAAAGGAAGGAAAGAACCGTCATGGCTGCCACTTCCTGAGGTGTATGTTTTGTGTAATTCATCCACTGCTTAATTGTCTCATCGCTTGGGGGAAAAGGGCGTAAATTAGTGCATCTTCAGAGTCCTCGGGAATTATCTTAGCTCCACTCCCTATTGTTTGAGTCATTATTCTGCATCATTATTGCTTTGGTTTTGATCTTTTTTTGTTGATGCTTAAATCATAATTGTGGCCAATCAGGATAGAACTCCAGGTCTGATCGCGTCCTCCCTGACAGTAGATTAATGTTTGATTTCTCATTAATTAATCTGACCTTCAGCTGCCGCACCACTGAGCAGGGTCGTTACGTAAACCACCCTAAGAAAACAACCCTGGATAATCGTTTCCAAAGAACAGTGATGAGTTTCCAGTGGTCTGAGGAGCTAACTCCTTATTACAGCAGGAATATTGCTCGTTTGCAGTAATGAGAGAGGCCGTTTCCCTGTCCTGTAGTCACAACATAGACGTCTCCTGGGCTTCCATAGTGCATGGATTACAGACCACGGTAATGACAGCAGGATCTATTAACGTCTACACCTCACTTTCAAAGCAGCTTCACCCGCATTTCCCTGTTTGTTTGGTAAAGCTGCCTGCTCTGTTTTGCGTCTAAGTACTAGTCGGCTTGATGTAGCCTCCTCTGGGTGAAATCTGCCTCACCCTCAGAAGACATTTCAATGCGGTCGGATGCAGAGCACAAAGGGACGTCTTTAGCGCATCTCGAAACGAGGCCTGGTGTCTGTCATGCATTTTAAAGTTTTATATGTGGCTGAGGCGTGAAGCGCGTCAGCGGCACTGCGCTGGGAGGTGCGATATCACACTGAGTGTGCTGTACTTTAGCACTTAGTGCTTTAGTAGTCAAACACATCCCCGCTACTCTGTGGATATTATGGCTGATTCCCAGAATGCACATGGAGCATCTGAGTCGAGGGACTGGAGCCAGAGGTGGCATGACATCACCCCCTCCGGCCAATCACGCTTACGAGGGGCTCCATTATCTGATTTGCTCACCTTTTCAACCAAAAACTGATATATACAGTTCTGTACAAAAAGTCATAAGCAATTCATGAAAATTCCGTTTAAATAATCTTTATTTTGGTATGAAACTAGCTACCCCAGTATTTGTAGAAACTATCCAACATAGCCATGTATTTGTTGCCCACTTGCATGCAATATATAGCTAATCAAGATCTATTTAACGAATTATGTTAATTAATTCTGCGAGCTGATCATGAAATATAACGAATACATGGAATGGCTGAGGTGCTCCTGAGGTGAGGTTTGGGAACCGAAGCGATGTTCATCTAGCCATCCAACAAGGGATCAGTAACTTTTTGGAGAACAGAAGAAATTCTTGTTGCTTTTTTTGTGTTACTTTTATTTTTCGCATATATTGTAATGTTAAATTGTATTTTTTTTTTTTCCTGTGCAAATATATACTTACTACCCAGATAAATAGCTTTGAACATTTTCTTTGATATAATGCTGCTGTATTCATGCTCAGAACATAACTCTTAACAGACCTGCCACTGGGGATACTGCCTTGACTGAACAGAGCACGTCAACATGTGGCGATGAAATAAAGTGTTTGTAGGAGGATTATCGATGATCTCAGCCACATCAAGGGGTGTTTCTCAATACGCATACTTCACTGTACTTGTGTTCTCGTGTATCCATTTCACATCATCTTCCATTCCATTCTTGCTCCGCCCCAAATATCAAGGATACACCGGTAGGGTCCTCGCCTAGGGAGACCAATCCCATGATTCATTTCACCCCAAGTTTGTTCTTGGTTAAGTTAGCAAGACGGCTCTTGCCAAGACCACAAGTACGGTCTTTGCGTTCTTGGTATCGCGAAACACCCGAGTCAACAGTTGTAGCAGGGGTCGGACCTTCCAGAAGCAAAGTACAGAACTGGCAACAAACCATTTGTCAGTCGGCAGAGTTATAATTTAGACATTTTGGTAGAGAAAAGGAGGGTGGAAGAGCACAAGATGGAGGGAGATACCAGGGCAGCAAGATGAGAGAGTCACACAGAGCTCCTGAGATCAGCTCCCGTGGCGGTTCCCACGCCTGCACTCCGTCAAAGTCGACTCATTAGAGATCGGAGGCTTCGTTTTTAAATGAAGGAACAACGAGGATAATTTGCACATGGCTGTGTAAAGCTGCAAGCTGGCATTTTCCTGCATGAAAAATGCAACGTTATCGCTCCTTTCGTGCTTGTGCCCCAATGCAGATACTGTCTGCGTTTTTTTAATCCGTGACGCTTAGATGAAGATATCAGTGCTGGTATCGCTGTTCATGTAAGTGTTCTCAGTGAAACGAAAGCCATTGATGCACTGGGCAGAGTACAGGCCACTGAGGATGCCTTTGATCTTATCCACTTCTTCTGTCTCTCTCTCTCTCTCTCTCTCACACTTTTTTTTAACCCTCTCTTTCTGCATTGTGCCTCTCGCTCAGGAACACTTCACACCAGAGTGCAAGTTCAAGGAATCAGTATTTGAGAACTACTATGTAACCTACTCCTCCATGATCTACCGGCAACAGCAGTCTGGTAGAGGCTGGTATCTGGGGCTGAACAAAGAGGGAGAGATCATGAAAGGAAACCATGTAAAGAAGAACAAACCAGCAGCTCACTTCCTTCCCAAACCCCTGAAAGGTGAGTGTGAGTCTGCCGCGCTCGTACGACCTCCTAGGGCTTCAGATTGCTCATCTCCCCTGACAGCTGCAGTGTCCTTCTGAAACCCCCCCATGACGGCTCACCCTGTGGGCATCAGGAAATATTAGGCAGTGTATGGAAGACGAAGGAGCGGTACTCACATTCACTCATTGGGTAAGAGGACAATATTCCCATTCCGGTCTCTGAAAGACCAGGACTGGGATTCCCGGAAACCTTCTTAACTCTACATCATTTGTAAGTTATACCTTAAGCTGTACCTTACCGTTTTGAGGTGTTCCCCAAAACATCCTTACCTAAGTATACCTTCTGTAAGAGATACTTTCATAAGGTTGGTGAGAATCACTCTCAGCTATCACTTTACAATTTTAAAATAATTCTAAAATATTGAAGATTTAATCATTTAAAATAAGACTTTCATAACCAAAGAAATAACTGATCCGTATGATAAAATGAGCTTGAATCTGATACAGGACTACAATCTTCTCAGGTATGTGTTTTGTCCTCGCGCTCGGCATGCGCTGCGAATTGATCTCACTACCATGCGGATTCATCAGAAAAGATAAGGAATGCACTCTTAATTATGTATTTTTTTGGGACGGCGGGGGGTCTGGAGACAAGTGGGGGACATGTTCCCCCTGTCCCCTCTATTTCCGACCCCCCTGGAATGCACACACCTCTCTAATGTGCCAAAGTCACCGTACATCAAAAGTTTGGTTCATGAGGTTGATAAGAGTCGACACTGCAGGTTCATTTACATGTAAGTCTAATACATTTTCCCCAAAAAAGCCCCCTGGAATAGTCCTTAGTAGTCAATGCTAAAGCACATAGGACATTCTCTTACGTTTGTATAGACAGTAACGCAACTTATCTTTCGGCTATTGTGCCATTGCTCGTCCCAATATTTCTTTTTATACGTTGTACTTTTTTCTTATTTATTACTTTAACTTATGCTGCTAAAGAGAATCGCTAAACTGTTTTTCACTGTTTTGTAATAGTGACAATAAAGATCTATCTTATCTATCTTATCTTAATATCAATGACATGCACACATACAGTATTGGTGCACGCAGGTGTTTTATACAAACAAACATATAATGATAATAGTACAATCTGGGGAGGCGAGTTTGTGTACCAATCGACAAATAGATGTTAGATAATTCAGTTTGCTTATTTGGAATTTTATGTTTACATTCTACCCAGTTCTGATTAATGCAATGTTTTGAAGCATTCCTGCAGTGTTATATTTATAAAGAACATCACTTTCTCTCATGCCACTGTCAAGCAGTCACTGCGTGGAGGGAATGATTGATTCTCAGACCATCGATGTCAACCAATCTGGCACCATTGCCATGGACAGCACCTAGTAACGTCACACTTAAGAAGCTATCCCTTAAGCAACCTCTTACAAACACGTAGAAAAATAAACTTTAATAAGGTCTACCTTTCGATAAGATTCACCATTATCAGGAAACCCAACCCAGATCTCTTATTTTCACGAGATTTAAGATGTAGCCCGGGGTGGGCAATCTTATCCATAAAGGGCCAGTGTATTTGCAGGTTTTTGGGGCAACCTTTAGGTCAGCTGCTCAAACCCAGGTGTGAGGACCAGTCCTCTGATTAGTAACCTAATTATTAACCTTTTAGTAAGTAAGTCCCCGTATACCTAGCCCTGCTAGTCCGGTTAGCAGAATCGGTCAAATTTACTGCCATTTTGGAGAATAAGATGAAATGAATGTTGAAGAAGAACAAACAGCAAGCGCGATGATGAATTTTTTATGTGCAATGTGTTATGACATCCTTTACAAGTCGCCTTCAGCCATCTTCACGCCCATGTAAATGGCTAAAGCAAAGCAATTGTGGGCACAAGCATCAGGACAGGAAGAGCCCATCTACTGCAAGTCACGTTAAAGGAGGAAGTGAACTATTTAAACCTCATTCAGTGATGCTCCTATACAGAAACCTGTGATGCAAGAGAAATCCATGCATCTGCCACTAGTACAAGTGCCATTTCTACACTGGAATGGGGCCAGTTTCCTGGGTAATCCTATAAGTACCTTATAGAATAGGGTAACCAGGATTGCAATAAGAGATGCTGTCTCAAAAGGAGCCCAGTAATAATGGGTGTTGAGTAAAGGTTTCCCTTGGAAAGCTTTTGCGTGAGCACAGACGTCTTTCCTGCAGAGCGGGATGACGGCCACTGCACTTTCTGGCTGATTATGTGATGCTCATCCTGCTGTTTGTCATCTTCACTCCTGGCATAGCAGCTCATTAATTATCAAGCTTATCGGAGCAGCGCTTTCAAGTAAGATGGAACGAAACTTAAGGGCACACAAAATTATCCTGGTTCTGCTGTCTAGTCACTCGGGGAAGGGAGGGGGTTGTGAATCAGGCCAATAGTCAGGCGCCTATTTGTTCCAAAACATGACTAGGAAACACTTGAAACCCAACAATAACTCATAAGCATGGAGGTCCGTTAATTTGTTTTCCACTCAGCCTGGGTTTCGGCCAGCCAGGCTCATCGTCTTAGCCCCTTGTGAGTCTCTATCATCTCCAGCAGCTACCTGAAGGCAGGCTGAAGGCCCCAGGCCCGGTTTCAGGGCACATCGTTATTGCCCCCGAATGCTGCTGAATTTTGAGCTGAAACAAGTGATATAAGTGTGCAAAATGATAAGATCCGGAACTTACAACCGTCAGATTCAAGTGAATGCACACACAAGAATTTCCATTGAATTCAGCTGAACTTAAAGAGCTTGACTCTCCAGACAGCAAGCAGAAGGTACCTGACAAAAAGAATATTTATATTGTGAATGTAAAAGATCCAGATATTCTTTCATGAAGAAGAGACCTCGGGCAGAGCTTTAAAAGGCATGACGTCTGATTGGGTGACTTCAGAGGACGGCAGGCATGGGGGCTGCTGTGTGTAACGGCAGAAGAGGGGGAACCCCGTGCAAGTGACGCACCCTGCAATGGCAGCACTTAGGGCAGGATCCGACACGCCACCCCTCTGTATATCAGGGAAATCCACTTAACATGTGCAGCTAATATAGTCTGCCATTACATCCTAGGATTTTGCACATATAAGTCAGTTCATTTCAGTGGTTTAAATTAATGCTTATTTCCACAGACAGTTTACATGCAGGTACCTTGGTCTGTCTATCATATTCCAGTCTGATGTTATACCTGAGATGTTCTATTGACAAACTGAGCATTGACTCACCATCTCGTTAATCCCATGAGCCGTATCAATTGGCTTAAGTGTGTGAAGACTGATTCTGTAACAATGTTAAATGCTGGTGTACGCCAATGGATTTAAATGCAGTGTAGGTGGTTTTAACAGCGGATGGCTGAGGCCACTGCTTCAGTCATCCATTGGATCTCATCTAATGTCCATGTACCTTGAAGGCTTTGCTGCTGGTTCTTTCCATTTTTCCCCAAATTTCCCCACAGGATTAATAAAGTACAGCCTCTCCCCAGCTTACGATGGAGTTACATTCCAATAAACCTATCATAAGGCAAAAATATCGCAAAGCAAAAATGCATTTTAATACAGTACACTGAAGCTAAGAAACATCATAGCCTACCTTAAAGACATGCTTAGAACACTTACAGTACATTAGCCAACAGTTGGGCAAAATCATTAACACAAAGCCTATTTTATAATAGTGTTGAACATCTCATGTAATTTATTGAATAATGTACTGAACGTAAAAAACATTTACCCATCATAAAGTCAAAATATCGTAACAAGGACCGTCGTAACCCGGGGAGCGATATATTCTGGTTCTGATTTTCTGATACTGATTGTCTGTGTGGCCTGCGATGTGGCCAGCATCTGATCTGAGACTCCCTCCATCTTCCCCATCTTCTCTATCTCCAGTGGCCATGTACAGGGAGCCCTCACTGCATGACCTGACTGAGTTCTCACGGTCTGGAAGCGGCACACCCACGAAGAGCCGGAGCGCGTCGGCCATGCTGAACGGCTGCAAGGTCGTGAGCCAGAATGAGTCCACGTAGCTGGGCCGCCGGGCCGCCGGGCCGCTGGGCCCTGGGCTTGGGCAAGACTCCTACTGTACTCTTACCTCTGGAGGTTGATGACTTCAAGCAGACGTCCCTTTTGCCCACTCAAACCACCATCGGTTCAGGACAGAGATAAGCGCAGCACAACCTAATCAGACTAACAGTATTGTTTCCTTATTTTTTTCTTGGTTTGTTTGGATATTATTCTTTTCAAAATCTGCATTTATGACAATTTGCTTCCTGACGAAAGGTCAGAAAAGCCAGTTATCTTTGGTAGTTTACTCTTGTAAAGCTGAGTCATTATCGCATTTTGCGGTTTCCTCCCCTTGAGGATTCCTACTTTATTTGACCGGGGTAGATAGTAGTAGTGTCACTGGTTACTTCTATTGCGGCGACATGGCCTGTTGTGGCCCACGAGTCCCTTGGCAAAGGGAGGCAGTGACCTTGCAGTGTTTACATTTTAACCATCCTCTTGCATGAGAAATACAAAGACTTTCAGATGACCTGATATAAAATAGGGGATTGGGTGGGGCCTGTTGTGTCTTAAGACTTAGAAGCCGTGCCTCCTCCCGCTTGCTAATTTACGAAATTAGCTGTGAGTTAATTTTTTTCGTTCCTCCTTTTTTGCCTCCTCGGTGTGGATGCGTCGCCGTTTTGCCGGGTCTCGTTACCCGAGGCAGTGGTGTGACTGATTTACTTTGTGCCAGAGCACAGATGCATGTTCCATAACAGTGTAAAAAACGACAAACGAGATGAAGAGAATGATGGTAGATTGCACGTGGTTCAGTATTATTTGAAGTGTTGGAGATGGGATATGGTTTGATCATCGTGAGTTCCCTTTTGTTTAAATCGTGTCAGGTTACGCCTGTCATAGGTGTCTGTTTGCCACCGAACGTTTGTGTCAGACCCCAACCTTTGTTGAAAACCAATGAATGACTCTACTCACCACTGATATCAGGAGAGGTCCTCACCCCAGCCACTGTTTTCTAGTTAAAAAGTGGTCACAATTTTGTATGAAAACAAAGTGAATACTGTGGAATTTCAAGTGGCTGAACATTTTTATAAGTTGTGTCTGATTTGTAAAAATAGAGTAAAGTTGAAAGGGAGAAAGAACCCTCCCCTTTCTGGCACTAGACGTGGACAAACAAACCGTCGTATACAGCAAAGACCCTTTTTTGTGGGCTAAGTACTCTGTACCTTGACCAACATATCTCCTTCATGCGTGCTTACAGGGAGGTTCTTGTTTATAATCTAGACTCAGTTAATTTTTTAGGTGAACGTATCTGTTGCATGGGAAACAGCTGGGACTTCTGGAATAGAGCTGCATGATGTAGGCTATGTGTACTAACCCATGTTGGATCATTTGTTCCAATTGTATCAGGATCGAACCCATATGACATCCAAGCAGGCATTCGGCTTGGTACCTTCCAGACGTTTATTATTTGTTGTATACACAAAATGCACTGAATAAAATGTTTATATTAAGATATACTTTTAAAAATGCCCCTTGTGTTTTCTTTCTCTGTCATGGATGCCGTGGAGACCAGCTTGAAGCCCTCCAACCCTTGAGCTGTGAGGTAGTAGGGCATCCCGCTGAGTGGCTGGTCTGCACTCGATAGGACTCCATATCAACAGTTCAGTGTTTAGCACAGAACTCCTGCATTACCTTCAGTGTGGCAGACAGGAAGAGGCCGCAGCAGAGATCTCATGCCCATATTCTAGTCGCCTGCTGACGTCAGTATAAACGCAGTTGAGCTCACGTCATCATAATGTATGACCACCACACAAAGATGCTAAGGGTGTTTCTCTGAATGTGTACTTAGTGTTCTCATGTAGCTCTGTGATGTCCTCTTACAGTACATTGCCGAAGACCAGTCCCAATGCTCAAGAACAGAAGTACGGAGGATGATAAAAAATCCCCAGATGTCGTTCTTGTCCCACTATAAATATCAAGGAGAGATCGGTTGCATCCTTGCCAAACGAGACCAATCCCACGACTCACTGCGCCTCAAGTTCGTTCTCGGGGGGCAAATTATAAAGACCAAGACCGGACGTTCTTTGCAGTCTTGGTACTGAGAAACACCCCACGACGCTAATTAAGCCATGGCCTGTTCATTCTTAGAAAGACCATGAAGAATTCTACCTTTCAGGGTTTACACTGCAGTTTTACACAGTGGAGCTTAACAGTTAAATGAAATAAAAAAACTTGAAAAGTAATTAGAAGATACCATTAATCAAGACAAGGACTCTGTTGTAGTTGGGGTATGTAGGCATCCAGGTCATACTTCATACAGGGCTGTACAAGGCACCAAGCGTTACCTTCCACACCTAGAAGCAAAGGGAAGACGATGACACTGTGCTCCCTGAAGCGCATGTCAATGAATGTGCTTATACCATTTCTTATGAAATGTAGGAATATCCAGGGATATCACTGAATGAGCAAAACGCCCTAGTAGATAAAAGCCACCAATGCACTCGAACCAAATGTGTTAGTATTTTGGACATATACTTACATATTTAGCTTAGCTGAGCATGGAGGCTGTGAAAACCCAGATTCGAACCCACGGTGCGGCTTGTTCCCGTGACAACCGTAGCCATAAACCACCCACATTTAAAGGGACACGCGCTTGTATTTTATAGCTGGCTTTCATAGTTTATATGAAAAGGGATGAGTGCAGGAAGGCCCACATAAATGTAAATAGAGAATGTGGGGGAGGCCGCAGTGGCTCAGTGTTTCTGTCTGTCTCAAGAGGGGGAATCCAGCCATCGTAAAAGGTTTTATTGCTGTCCTACCTCTAGTCGCCTGATTGCACACAAAATGGTGTGTTCTACTTTTATTTCAAAAGTAAACCGGCCTGATTTTTGCGCAAAAGGTTGCAGAGTCACCACCCCCCCCTCCCCCTCCCCCCAAATGCAACGGCAGTTCTTTTTATTGGTTTATGTGGTCCTTTGTTTTCCTTCAAATCCCTTCTCCTGGCTTCGTCTGAAAAGGCAACTCTGGTAATAAGCTCTGGTGCAGTCAGAACTCCTCCTGTCGCATGATTCCGTTGCCAAGCTATTCCACTGAGAACAATGCAGTGAACACTAGAACACTGCCAGATTTTAAATGATTAGTCTGATATTCTACATGCAATATGGTTCATAATATACACAAATGTAAAAAAGCAGTATAATTAATGTTAAGTTCATTACATGCTAAGCGCCTTTTAATTAGGTTTTCTGAAAATGAGCACAATCACCTTGAAGATGAAATTAGCTATAAGCAATATGTCTAAAACTGCCATAACCCATTCAGTAACCCTGATGTATTCCTCCTGTTGTTTATCAGTCCATGCTGTATTACGCAGAGCTCTGAAACATCACTGTAATCACTCAATAGATGCATCATATCTTACGCACAATAGATACAAGGCCTCTGACAACATCCAGACCTCATCCTTCTATTTCAGTCTTACTGTCAGAGACTGTGGAGACCATGGTGAGGACCTCCTGACAACAGCAGCCTAATCTCTCCGAGGCAAGTTAATGCATTGGCTGTCCCAGGCTATAGTCCAGGACTACACCTCAACGAAAATAGAATGATTAGTTAAGGGCAAATGATATTTGAACCCAGGGGTCAGTAACCAAGAATGATATTCCACTACAAATTTGCGACTAATGAATTTCAAACCCTGCAGCTGGCGCTAACACTAGTTAGCTACCTATTGCTAGAACGAGAGCACATTGTGTGTTTAATGTACTCTGTCATCTATATCTGTAGCACACTTTAGCGCCTTCAGCTGTTGAAGTGACATGCAAGCTACACAGTGTTTATGTTTTTTGTGGAGCCAGAGGATGGGGAGTTAGGAGATCAGGTGTAAATAGCCAAATAGATGCCATGTGACTATTTTCAGCCAGGCGCAAATAGACACTCCATTTGTTAAATTGGTATCTCTTGAGTGTCCATTCCTCCCCCCCGATAAGTTATGCTGCGTTCCATTTACCTCAGAAGTCAGAACTAAAAACTGCGAATCACGTCACACATGAGTTAACAGCGTTTCAGTACAGCCAGTCAGACAGCCATTTAGCAATAACAGGACCCATTTCAAAATGCAAGATTTCTTGCTTAGCCAGATAACTTGTCAGATTTAAGGTACCCCAGTTTAAATGGCCTTTATCCTAGTTCACTTACATTTAGCCCAGACTACCTTAAATCTGACAAGTTCTCCACTAGAAATCCTGTTTGAGGAAATGGGCCCCAGCTCTAGCCTGGTTTATTGTTAGCAATATCACTGCATAACAACGCATTATGCGGTATTTTGCACGTAAAAACACCACAGAAATTCAAGTCACCAGATTAGAGGTTGGACAGCACTGTGTGTACGACCAATTTAATGAGCCACAAATAAGACACAAGTGCTAATAAACAGTATAAAACTACAGCTTTAACTTCTGTTGATAAAGTGCACAGCCGTCCTGGATTCTGAACTTGGGCTTGTGTCGATTCCTCCGAGTTCACGAGTCGGACTTCCGACTTGAGGGGGCGTTCCAGTTGAAATTTTTGACTAGAAACTCAGAATTTACGAGTTTCGAGTTCAATTGGAACACAGCATTAATCTATCCCTGCCTCTGCTCACCATTTGTTAAAGGGCAGACATTGCTATTAATTACTTAGGAGACCCATTGTTCTCTGAAGATCTCTAGCAGGAGATGTTCACATCTATGAATAGTCAGGAACCATGTGTACTGAAGGGTCACTGACGCAAAAATATATAGGGGAGAACATGAGGAACGGACACCATTCCTTGGGGCAGACACACACACGCAGGCCACACATTCCAGAATCATGGCTCCCTGCCACAGAACCCCAAAACAAGACGCTACAGCATAAAAAATGAACCAATGCAAGGTAGGATCAAGGCGCAAGGGGCACTCGAACAAATGCAAAATGTGTAGCCTCCACAAACGCATGAGCAGCATGTGATGCATGCAATTTGTAAATGTTTTTCCAGCTGAACTCTCATCATCTATATATTCAGTTCATTCATATATTTGTATGAGAAAATAAAGAGAAGTTGCCAAATGTTAATTCAACACAATTCAAAGTAGGACAGCAGAGACTGGCAGCCTATATGACCCCTTATTCCACCTTGTTCCATCCATCCATTTCCTGTAACTACTTTTCCTATTCAGGGTTATAAGAACATAAGAAATTTACAAACGAGAGGAGGCCATTTTGCCCATCGAGCTCGTTTGGGCAGAACTTAACTAATAGCTCAGAGTTGTTAATCTAGCTCTGATTTAAAGGAACCCAGGGTTTTAGCTTCCTCTACACTAGCAGGAAGACTATTCCATACTCT